AACTTCCGCATTTTTTCGGGCTGTGTACAGCCATAATCCAAGCACTGCCAACTAGTTTAGTCTCCAGATAGCGTCCGTTAAGTTCGCATACTAAAAATGTGCAGTCCTATGTTTCCCGACTACGCATATCACCACCTAACATGCTAGCCACCGTGCCATTCCAATGGCAATGTCATCGCTAACCTCTCCGCACTTATCGATAGACCCAGGATATTTCACAGACCAGATGAGGATGAGTGGGCTGATTTTCTCTCGGTCCAATCACACAAAACATACCCCAAAGCGCTATAAATTCTGAGGGCGTCATACGATTAAGAGAGCTAGGTTGGCCTCACTTCACCCGACGACCAGCGACCTTGGAAACACAACACCAAACGTTTACTCCTAACACAGTCCCCGCACTTTCGGAGTTGAGTTGCCCTGCCTCTGTCCGTATATTATGACATCCATCCTTAAAATCAACCGAACTGTCCCCACACTAGGACAGTGGTGCCAACGTTTCGCAGTCTTGGGGAAGGGTGACCAAGCGCAGCTTAAGCAAGACAGGGCCACTCCACCTCATGTCCCTGTCTTACGTGTCCAGCTCAGTAAGGCACTCGAAGGACGAGATGAGCTCATGGAGTAATCACCTACGTCCCCTGCTCTTATTCCACTTGATTTCTTCCATCGGGCAGGATGCACAGAGATGGACCCAGAGTCCTAGAATGGCTAAATAGGCCGCCATCCGAGAACGCAACCGCGGGCACTTGACATCGCGTCCACTGGTCTTGTTTGAGGATGTAGTTGATTTGCGGGTAGAGGCGTGCACGGCACCCTGTACGACTGCTAGAGGTCAAAATTGCACATGTAGTGCATACTGTCAATCGCATATTTCATGGTTTACACAGATGCGTCAGACGTCGCGCGGTTTTTTTGTGCGTTGGGCATAACCTGACCTAGGATTTGCTGATGAAGGCAATGGCTGGTAGGGGGGAATAGTTTTCCTTCGAGACGTCCCAACGTCTAAAGTTTATCAGAGCTCACAGCAGAACCCGTCAGTGCTGTATGGAAGACTGAACCACAAGCCTCTACGTGTGAGACGAAAAGCGTTACTCGCTAAAACATGTGTCCACGATTTAACGGTATTCGTGCTCTTGATGAGCATTAGCGAAACGTTGATCCCGCTTCCTGCCGCTCTTTACACTCATAATACCGACGCATGGGCGTCCAACAGGTTGACTCGGCACTTTATGGCCAAACAAATGCGCTGTCTCCGGTTCACAGTTCATTTCGCTACTTTGCGACCATCGTCTGCTTACTGTTATAAGTCTTCATTTTCGGAGTGGCTGATACCGATAAGGCTAGGCAGTGACAGGCGAATGGGCGCACGCATACTATTGCTTGATGCGTGCACTTGGCGCACGGGCCAAAAGGCAATAAGGCCGTTCGAGAAATGTAAGCAATACAACTGTCTGGTCTTGCGATCCGTCTGAAATTCAGGGAAACTACGCAACTTTTGGGTGTCGAAGAAGACGAATTTATTCCAAGGTTAGACAAAGAAGACCAGAAGTATATTATCTGGACAGGAGATCTGTTCCTTGTAGAAGGAATAAAGAAGAGCGATGGGGATGCGGAATAAATCCTGTTTAGCTATCGATTGAAAACTGGGGCATGTAGTCGAGGCAGAAGTTTGCGGCGCAGAGGAGACGTGTCATCTTGCGGAACGAGCCACACCTGCGGGACGGTTCTGCAAAATTCCTGCAAATAATTGAGTTAGCTTGCATTTCTGAGGTGAAATATTAAGAACATTTAAAGGATTTACAAATATAAATCCATGAGAGGCTCCCTGCACCGTGAGAAGTCCAAAAATAAATGATTTAATCTCGACACTCGAAGGCCAAAGAGTAAGACAGAACCGAAGTGAAAACCGGAACATAGCAAGACCACGAGGTAACAGATGAGGTAAGATGGCCTTTAAACACGCACTGATGAAAGGGGGAATTCAGCTTATAAGATTCTTTGTTTGTAAATTTGTGGCGTTTCGAGTTGTTAAAGTCAATGAAAAACTTGCTCGATAGTAGTTTATTTTACCATACCGATAACTACTAGGGATAACTGGATATATAAACTGAGTACGCCCGACATGCTGCCACTTTTCTGTGTCACGCCGTGCAACGATGTCTTCCAGCAGTCCCCTACGAAAGGATACGGAAATTAGCAGCGGAAGAGTTGTCGCGTGAGTAGTTAGCAAGTATTTTTAATATAAGTAGGGTTACTCTGTGACAAATACGTAATGATAGAACCATACCATGATATAAGAAGGGTAGACCGAAATTGTCCACAAGTAAGCAAGACGAAGATTATGTCGTACACCAAAAAAGCATCATTATATGCCCATTAAGACCATTCACAAGGAAAATCTGCCGAGGTTCTCTATGAACATAAGTAGGAAAAGGATGCAGGAATTTGAACTTCATCAACAAAAGGCCATTATCGTGCCGTTTATAAGTGGACAACTTAATAGTGAACGTTTTTTATTTGTTTATAAATATATTGATTACGGCCCTCATTCTGGAAGAGCATTTACTTCTGCGATGAGGTCTTATTGTTAGATAAGCCAATGAAGTCAACCCAGATGGTCGTGTGCGGAAAACAACTTCCCCAAAAAGCACACTGCGCCGATGGCAACATTCAAGAACTTTCGAGAGTTAGTGGTTTGGATGGCTATTAAATTAGAGGAGCGTCCAGTCTGGCGGTCGACTACCGACACCATTAAGCGCAAGGTGTTCGTCAACAATGTGAAGGATGTTTTCGATTATAACGACATCCACCGACGCTGACTGGATACCATAATTTTACACGATGACGCTCATGTCCATAGTTCTAAAGAAGTATGAATCTAATAACGTTTTCAATCGTAATCTGATTTTTAGATAACAGCCGGCCTCTCCACATGTGGCCCCCAGTCGATTTCTATCCCTGCCAAAAGCCCGGATCTCAATCCCATTGAAAATCTTTTCGCACTTATCAAGAGACATTGGCATAAGGCCAATAAGAAACTTTGAGTGCAAGAAAAAAATGATTTTGCGCTAGACAATCACATTAAACAATCCATTAAGACAACCTGGCCATCTCTATGCCAGACTTTTTGCACCCCTTTAGTTAGTTCTATTTAGGCGATTCGTAATAAGAGCATTTTGTGAAATTCTAGTTTAAAATGAAAATTAATTATTTTACGTTAGTAAATATTAATTCACCACCCCCAACTAGGCGTTATTTTTAAGAACAGTCGTTTTTTAACTGTCGTAAGACTTTGGGGAATGCGGGTTGGGCAGATTTTGCGCCATAGGGATTTTCTTGGGCTAACTCATAAAATGTCATGAGTTGGCACACCAACTGTAGATGGTAGCTTTTTGATGTGTGCAGGTCGATTCATCTGCAAAAATCTCTAGCTAAACATATTGCTTGTGGTGTATGGACGCTTTCATCGATTTTTGATGCCTCTGTTGTATGTAACCCGGTCTATCTTCTGACGTAAGCGATCAATGTACACAGACCATATACGTCCGGCGAATTATATGAAAAAAATTAGAGACCAGGATGCAGCTTGACGTTGAATTTATATTTAAAGTTGTGTCTAAGTCTACTAACGTATTTTAGCACACTAAAACAAAACGCTTCCGTCACCACACCTGTATAAATCCAAGTACGCTTTATGTAAAGAACGCACAAAACACCTTTTGATCCCCTTTTTATGTCAAAATTGTCTTCTTCATACTATTCACTTGAGGCAAAAGTAAATGGCAGTTTTAAAACGTCTGTGTTCAGGTGACATTTTGAGACTATGAAATGTCTTTTCTAAGATATTCGTATGCACAGTTTATTAGTACTCCTTCTGGGATATACGAGTGATTCATGTCTACTGCAAAATTTTGTGAGCGTCAGATGCCATCTTCTTAACCCTGTTTGATTCCCCTTAAGTGGAAAGTTTGCAGCGTGAAATTTTGAAACTCTAAACGTAAGTACAACGACAAATATGGTTCCAAATAATCCTTTAGCATTTTGCTGCATGATAACGTGTACTGCAAGCGCACGCAAGTAATCCTTCCTAACCGAAATCATACTTCAGCATTTCAATTAAGGCCATGTGGGTTTGGTAACCTACTGTTTGCAAAAACTACTTTGCAGGCGCGTTTAGGAGAGGCTTTGTGGGATGACGAAGGAAGATTTGACAAAGGATTTATGGAGAACAAAACACTGAGGGGTCAGTATAAACGGCTACCAGGCCGAGAATACATGACAAAACTAAAACTTACCATGCTCAGGATCATTCAAGAGCGTGCTCCTGGCTAACTACGTTGTCATTCTTGATGACCAGCTCAGGTTCGTCGATTTTTCGTTGGTCTAAACAAAAAATACTGCTTATATCTTTGCTTTGTAATTAAGAATGTGAAAGGTTGTTGCTGACCCCAGTATAATGTGTATATGTGATGTGTAAGCAAGCCAGTGCAACAGAAGACCTGAAGCGTAGAGGGAAACTTTCGAAAGTGATTAATGCGAAAATGAAGGCAATTCACTCTCTCAGACTTCCTCGCCCCCTCCCCGCCCTGTTCAAAAAAACCTCGAGAATTTTTAAAAATAGACAAGTCATTCGCTGTTCAAGAGCAGGATTATGGTAACTGTAAGCACGGTCGGGCGGTCGATAAGGAGCTCCTTCTAAATTCGGCATCCCAACGTGATTGGGATACCTCAGTATTATGTGAAACGCTGATGAATATGACAACCCTACTTAAGTAGTCCTTCCGAATTGGAAACGCATTTCAGAATTTCGGTTAACATTTCATGAGATAGCACATCTACTCTTCATCTCCTCGACATTTCTACAGACATACTGTTGTGAGTCACAGGCACCTGCTGACAAGCAACTTGCACCGCAGTGACCGCAGCGAAAGTTGGCGATCCCGACTGCTTCGCGCATTTCCTGTCTCCTATCGAGTAGGCTCGTGAGATGCACTAGACCTTCACGTCGCCTTAGCCATTGCCTCTGATTCCATCACTAGCTGGTTGGCAGGCTCTGAGAAGGGAGAACGGGGACCCCGTTCCTACGGCCCATCGGCGCACTCCTCACCACAACAAATCTCACACCTTTGAATGTATCACGATACGCCTAAAATTGTGCCTTGGGAAGTTTCCAACTAACAGGACAAATCGGTTCTTCTCGGGACTGCTTCGGGTTGCAATGCCTTCTTATCAAGGTGGTCTCAGTGGCAGTCTCGAGGATGTGAGATTCGAACCCTCCTCATAAAGCCTCGCACATGCTGCTGTAGGGATCAGATCGCATGTGTCACGCGTAGACAGACTGTTTGGCTTCGTCAGCCACTGCGCCCACCTCCGGTCGTCACGACATTGCTCTGCAACTGGAGTCAGGTATGTGGGGGGAGAGAGTGTGGAAGGCGTTGCGCAAGCCCGCCTCACTAGAAAATAGCACGTCCGCAAGTCACTGCCATTGAGCGCATCCCCTGGGGACAAGCGGCGGACTTCGCCATTCGAATTGTCGGTTGCTGCTGTAATTAAGCATCTGGAGTACGTTAGTCGGTCTCCTTAGACTGTAGTCGCTAGCTGGCGGTAAACGAAAGAAGCTAAGAACAACAGTCAGTCAGTCACACTCCTCGTTCCCACACCGCCCGCATGACAAAGTCGTTGAGGCTGGAGAAGTGGGGAGTTGGGGGTAGGGTGTGAGCAGTGTCTGCTTGTCAAACACTCGGAGGGAACATGACTGTCGTTAGGTTGTTGGGGCGGCGTGTGATCACCACCTGGAGTCGGCCACGGAAAACAGACCGCCCGCACCAACGTCTCCTAACAAAAAAGTGCTAGATTAGTTAACCGCACAGTCACGGCCTTGGCTGCTGCCAGCACTCTTTGGCGTAGGCCTTTAGAGTATTTTGCCGGTAGCCGGTAGATAACATGAAAGAGTTTTTTGACATCGACTCGGTGACTCGTGCCGACTAGACGCGCGAGGATAGAACTTGAAATCGATCCATTTGAACCTCTACCTAGCCTGATAGGTATGTGTGCTTGCATTCCCTCTTTTCCAAGCGCCTTGTTCTACGGCCAATGTACCCCCTCCGGGTCGGCGCTTTTTTCGAGCTATCAGCTGGATTAATTCACCTTCTCATAAGGCCGATGCGTCAGATAGGTACTCTTCGCTAATAATCCTGAAAGACGGCTTACTTTCGAGTTTCCACCAAAGGGCTAAAACTGGCGGTTTTGGGAAGTAGTTTGGTACTTTCCAAAACAACGAAACGAATAAAACGATCATCAGCTTTATGAGGTTTTAACATGACTGTTCATCTCTGTCTTCAACGTATGACGAAGAACATCAGGGGAGTGTAACAAACTCCGGGTTAAACAAGTCAAAATATCTGCATAAAGACAGTGCAACCACCAACCTTGGTTCACTGTAAAGGTGTCGTCGGCCAAGGTCAAGTGAAGGAAGACAGGCTACAAGAAGTCAATGAGAGTGTTGTTTAGGGCTTGGGGAGTAGAAGAACACTAACGACCTTATATAGTACGAGGTGTGAAGACTGCATTTTTTTACAAATTATAACGACATTCAACCCCCCCCCCCCCACTTCGGGTCAAGAATTCAGGGGGGGAAGAGGAATGACCTTCAATGCATATCCAGTAAAAATCCAAGTACACGAATTCTCCTACAACGGGAGCGTTAGTTATAAATGCACAAGAGACCAACTCGCAAGGCAAGATGAATTATGAGAGGATCAGCCTCATTTAACCTTATCGGGTTCTGGCGGCAAATTCGGTAACAGGGCCGACACCATAGTAGGTTAACGGTTTACAGTGGTCAAACAATTTGATAACTGGATCTCGATGATACTACCTCCCCACTTCACTCTGATCTAATATTCGTGAAGTCCCTCCGCCCAACCCGGCATGGCTTCTGTCATATGCCATGTACCACCGACGAGATAAACAATCATTGACACGATTTTTGATGTGTGATGACACTGATATCGAGAAAGTTGGACTACACTTGTCACCGTAACAGTTGTCACACCGGCTTATATTAACATGCCCTATTCCTTCTCGTGGGGCCTAGTCAGTTACGCCCCGTCTATTTTGATTGGAGAATTTTTTTGCTGGACACTCTGTCCCGCTTTCTCTCTCTCTCTCTCTCTCTCGTCACACGAAGTTGACTAGTCCTTCCGTTGATGTGGAACCTCTGAAAAACTGGTTGATAACTGTTAGCACTGAACTAACAAGCTTGGCAGAATGACGCGCTCGCAAAAAATAACTTCGCGTCGGACTACGAACAGCAAATGCAGTGGGCACCGAACAGTGGAGACTTCAGGGAACCCCGGATTCTATGGACTGCAAATGACGATTGCAACTACGAGCCCTCGCAAGTAAAGGTGCAGTCCAGGTGACCATTTCACCAGAGTGTGGATCTTAATTCTCGCCAAAAAATGGGGAAGTATGTGATCCTTTACTGAAATAGACGTACTTTGTGGTCCCCAACGGATACGTCTTCACAAAGGAGTCCATAAATGGCATCCCGGATGTCCAACAGACTTAGGGCCGACCGAGAAATAAAAACACGATCACACCAGGCAGGGAAGCGTGAAGAGGCGTACTCCGACGGCTTTGAGGGGTCCTCAGAGAATGGATAGCTGTGAGAAATTAATGAAGAACACGCTTTCAGTCGAAAGATATTGAAACATTGGAAGGTTGCCTTAGCAAATTCTGATGTGTGCTTCTGGAAAAATGAAGATGAAAACCAATCGAAGGATTTAAACTGACCCTCCTACTTCCTGAGGGTAATCCTAGAAACTTGGACGATTTTATCAGTCGGGGATGGACAGCGGCGGCGACAAAGACTCGTCGCGGCTAAAGTAACGGCTCAGCCTTCAGAAAATTGGTTAACAAAGAGCACAAGCTTTGTTCAATGCCCCCAGTCGTTTGCTCTGTCTTATTAAAACCCCCATGAGTTTCTAACTATCCCGATGAGGCAGAAATATGCAGGCCTATGACATACAGTGCGTGACCGATCTCATGAAATGGCCAAAATTCTGGAATGCGTTTCCGATTAGGAAGGACTACTTAAGTGGGGTTGTTATACTGAGTATCATGCAGCATAACCCTATAACATTTCGGACTCGTCAGGATGTCGGCTTTTGAATGCACTTCTTTTTGACCTCCTACAGAAACGACGTTCGGTAAAAAAATGACTACGTAAGTAGCATGCATTTTTCCTATTGATTTCCGATGGTCTTATAAATTCAAATATAGTTTACAGAAAACACGCATAAAAACATGCTTTCCTTTGCTCATTTGATAGTAAATCCCATTGTCTTCATATTTCATGCCCGAAGAAAGTGTGTATTTCGGTTTTGAAAAATTTCCCGATTCCCGAATAATTTTTAGCCCGATCTGCCATTGCATCAGCGTTTAGTAATTTCAGTCTACAAGATGAATGCTTTCCGCGTAAGGAAAATCGTATATTCCTCTATGCCTTTAAGAAGATACCGCATAGATTTCATGAAATTTTGTAGTGGATCCGGACTGTGTTGTACATTTTATGAGGAGTATTAGTAAACGGACATGTGCGGTCTTGCATGCATGGGCATCGCACGGTCTTAAAAAATCTCATAATTAAAACTACTTTAAAACCTAAATATACACTTTCTTCGGGCATAAAATATGCAGACAATGTGATTTCCTACTAAATGAGCAAAGGAAAGCATATTTTTGTGCATGTTTTCTGTAAAATATATTTTAATTTATAAGACCATCGAAAATCAATTGGAAGAATGCATGATACTTAAGTAGTCATTTTTTTACCGAACGTCGTTTCTGTAGGAGGTCAAAAAGAAGTGCATTCAAAAGCCGACATCCTGGCAAGTCCGAAATGTTATACGATTATGCTGCATAATAATCAGTATAACAACCCCACTTAAGTAATCCTTCCTAATCGGAAAGGCATTCCAGAATTTTGGTCAACGTCTCATGAGATCGGTGACGCACTGTATTCCGCTAACTTAATTCAGAAAAATGGCTCTAAGACCTTCACGTCCGTCATAGAACGTTGTAGGCGGCAGCAGGGTCGGTTTTAAAGCTAGTAATACAAACAACCCCCCTTTATCTGTCAGGGCACTGGCACAGCATAATAAGTAGTTGCGACAGCCAAGGTGATGATTACAACCTAACCATCCAAATCTCATATACATACCGCCATGTTGACTTGGATGTCCATTACGAGGGTCTACGTTCACGACTGACTGGCCCCGGCCCTAATCACGCATCAACGGCTGCGCATACAGCCGCCCGCAGTCCAACTGATCCACCATCCACCCTCCCCCTCCAGTACAGGGTGCCGTAGTTGTTCCGCCTCCTCCCCCTTTGCGTCATGTCTCTCTCTGGCGCATATACTTGCACGTACGCACCATCGGTAGTCGTTTGTCGGACATTCCGGGGCCCTGCATGATGTCCCCATTGCGTCCCGCCGATCCCTGAAACCGAGAGACCGTAGGGGTGATCGGCCAATTACAGCCACCCAAGACGGCCAATCAACGTCGAGGCTGACACCGACATGTCCCTACTCAGTAAACTCAGAGACTTGCTCCGGCAGGGCCAGACGTGTGCCTCTTATCCGACTACCAAACTTGATTAAACTTATTCTTCATCCATTCTGTGCAAAATACCGGCGCCAAACTTCTCTTCCTACTAGGACCCCGGCGTGAAGGCCGTAGCTGTTAAGACCTGCCCATGGCTTTAGTTGCAGCGGCATCCTAACCCGAGCACCGAGACTTCGCTTGCATATTAACCTTCCTTGTCTGTAAACAGTCCAATCCGAAATTTATGAGCGTAATGGTTGGCTCTGGCAAGAGGAACGGTCTATTAATTTTTAAAAAATTGCGGAAATGACATCGTTGTCTAATGTCATTCTTGTGTGATCATCGTTGAAAACAGAAATGTTTACGGCATAATAACAAGTTAGCGTGGATGTGGTTATTGTAGTGGTAATTCGGACGCAAGTGCTCATATAAAGTCGCCCATAAGTCGTTTTATTATTTACAAGTTGAATATTTCTTAAAGATTAATTTCGAAAAATCAACGATTTTAGGCGCTGCTCAAAAATGAAATTTTTCATAATAAATCTAAGGAAAACTAATTTTCAAAACCAAAACAAAATTTTGGAAAAATTGGTTGCAACAAGCGACTGGTGGGCCATCTTGTGCCAACTAACCTTGGCCGGAATTGAATGGGGTATTCAAATAGGCTTCCTTCAAACGGCCCAGGTTCCTCGTCAAAGCACTGAGCCTAAATACAAATTGTGATTGTCTTAGGAGAAGGTCTTTGGGTTCGCCGCATTGGAAACGGCTGACAGTTAGTGTAATACAGAACAAGTGGTTGCTTTACAGTATGATCATCAGGAACAGGTTTGCTAGTACTTTTGGGGAACTTATTTCATCAACATAAACGCTTCACTTAAACCTCAGCAGGGAAACGTATTTCAGTTGACTATTAGTCATTAATAAAAATCACCAGGATCAGCTAAATGAATACTGGTGGGGAGGTTGGTGGTGGTGTTGATAAGAGGTAGGAAACTAGACGATAAGCTTGACTCTCTGTAGTTGGCGTCATCAGGAGGAGTGAATTTATACATTTTCACATCGGGGAGCCTACCTGGTTTAAAAACACTTGCATCGTGCGAAAGATCACCCTTTAGGGATCCTTAAGGTTCTTTTTGATGCCTCTTAGAGATCAAGGTGACTTCAGTAACCATTAAAAGTCAACCGATGCATATTTCATCAAAAACGAAAACTGCAACAACGATAACAAACGGTGACCAAAGGCTTGCCTGATGTAACATTGGAAGTAGTAAAGGCTTCAAAGGGTCGAAATCAAGATGCTTCCTATGAACCGTTAGAAGATGTGACTGAGTTGAAGAATCTCGATAGACAATCTCCGTTTCCGACGAAACACACTCAATAAGTGCATCCGCTTTCGTGGCTAGGTACCGTTGGAACAACGCCTGTTGGGAACCATCGTAGACAACAGTGAATAGAAGAACACAGTGCAGAGCAATTGGGAGTTCACACGAAGAGAGCATGCTGGGCGAACATAATGAAGCAGTGAGGGCAAGTTTGTCTAGCTGAGCAGGTGCGAGGGGCTCAATGTCATTCAAGTGGGGGCGAAATCGGTGAGGAAAGGAGTTAGATCAAGTGAACAGATTGTCCTTTTAAAAACATTCCAGACAGACTTTCGTCGGGGTGGAAGGAGGAAGAAGAATGCACTAACAAAGGCGAGAAAAATCAAATGCGAAAGAAAAACAAACCTCCAAAAGTTTTGGTTGATTTAATCGAAAATTGAAGTCACCGAAAATTATGAACGGCACTTCCTGAAGGCTGCGGCTAAGTAACGAGACGGTGAAATCTAAGACCTCACCTTGCCAACTCAAGTCCTAGCTTTTCCATCCTTGCGACCGACAGGTCGTGCGGGAACTGTAAAATTCAAAGAGAATGTGTGTGAAGTAGAGGAAAATTCTTAGGCGTTTCAGTAGCATAGTTGATCAAGAACGCATCTTAAAATTCTGACCAACGCTTACATCTGAAGTAAATTTTCAAGTTTTTAATCTTATCTTCTGCTTAAGTACAAGATCGACCTTTACGTAGGACAGTAACAGTGGCGTCCACAAAAACCACACTGGTGTCTGGGGTTCACCCAAGGTGACGTAAAGAACGGCTGACCAGATTACTTTCTTGCCTCTTCAGTGAATACATGTTAGCTAACCTAGTAAGATTTCCCATTTTGTCAAGGTATTGGAACGTGATACAGGCAAAACAGGTGGGCAAACACTGCCTCGAATGTGATGCGAACTAAACAATTCCAGATCTGCTCACCCTGCGATTGGGGCACTGCTCGCTGAACACGGTAAATGCATCAGAAATACCCTTAACTATGAAAAACCTTGTCTTTTGCTAAAAGATGAGAAGAGGCGAGTTCTAGGAAGTAGTCGCGAAGAAGGAGACACGATCGCTGTAACAAGCGCTTTATTAGCCTAAAGTTTCGGATTCTCACTCGAATCCATCATCGCAAACAAAACCAGATAAGGGTAGTGAATTGCCCAGCTGTTGCAATATTTATAGAATGTATTTGCTAGGCCGCCACATGCCGATCGCAGTTGGCAGCTTCCGAGTACATCACGGCTCGACTGGCTGGGTGTTGAAGCATGCAGGTGCAGTGCAGTTACTATGCGCCTGTATGCCGGTCAAGATTATCGACTCCCACGCTCATCGCACGCAGTCGAGTTGCTGACGGCCAGATTTCGCCATCCGGGTGGGCTCTTGGGTAATTTGGCTCGCCGATATTGACACCAGGAACAGTGGCCATCCGCACGCTGTCCTCGCGGTTAACCACTTTGCCTCGACAAAGTCTTAACGTCGAATATGGAGCGGGGAGGTCATTGCGCTTGTTGATTGACTGAGGACCGGGAAACCATGACTAGAGCAATTCGCGGTTAACGCGGTTGTCGCCTCTAGCAAGAATTTCTGCCTTGTCAACCTTTAATGTGTGGCTGGGGCCCGTCGAGTGAGCCGCGACTTGGGATCTGGTGTCTTTCCTCCCCACCGCTGCTGCGTGCTCGGCCACCCGCGTCCGCAGTAGTCTTCCGGTTTCTCTGACATAGTTCCTCTGCCCGCAACTGCACCAGACACGGTAAACGACTCCAGATGTTTCTCGCCGTAACAACTGGTCTTTCAGCCTCATGATCTGGCGCCTTATGGTTGCCTCCGGTCTGTGTGCTACTCGAATTCGAAAGGGTCTTAGAAGGCGGCTGAGGCCTTCTGAGACATTCTTCACGTACGGGAGAGCTCGCCAAAACTTGGGGCCGGTTGGATTTCGTCTCTCATCTCGTTTGCGCAAGCACTGGTTGACGGAGTTGGGCGGGTAGCCATTGGCTTTGAATACCCGTCGAAGATATTGTAATTTAGCCACCTTGTCTTTCGGTTCACTGCAATGTCTCCACAGGCTAGTATAGTGTCCTTACGCAACTGCGTTTGTGAATGATTGGGTGGTTGCCGTTGTAGCTCAGTACTTGCGTCGTGTTGGTCGCCTTCCTGAATACTTTGGTTTTTAGGTCACTATAAACTTTGCGGCAGACAAGCACATCAAGAAAGGCCAGCTGGTTGTTTTCCTCTTCCTCCATCGTAAATTGGATGTTCGGGAAGGTGGCGTTAAGATGTTCGTTGAATTCCACCACCCGATCCCGTTCAATGACGACAAAGGTATCATCCACATACCGAGCCCAGAATTTCGGTCTGTGGTGTCGGAAAACCAGCGACTCCAACCGTTGTAGGACCGCCTTGGCTATGAGTTCGAAAATCGGAGAACCAATTGGCGTGCCTTTCGCCTGCTCGTAGATTGTTCCGTCGAACTTAAAGTACGTCTTGAGACAGAACTGCAGAATTTGGGGATTTGGGCGTGCCCAGGGCGATTCTCTGTTCCATCGTGTTTCTCTTGTAGGGGTAGTTCGATGGTCTCGACTGCCAGGTCCTGATGGATTCGAGTGGGAATCCGTAACGTCAGGCTAATAAAGATCTTGTTTAAGCGATCGTGTCTCCTTCTTCGCAACTCTGTCATTGGTACTTTAAAAATTGTTAGTCCTATGACCACCCAATCAGCTCGTTTGTTCCATATAATACAAGAACCCCTTGGAGATATTTGCCCTTACCAGCAAAATTGTTATCACTCACATTTTTTACGGTGATCATGTTGTTGGTATCATTGAACAAGTGAACATTGACAAAATCAAGACATGTGTTTCCAAGGCGCCACCGTGTTTGCAGGAGACCCTTGCGTCCGCCTGAACCCTGAAGAAACATTTAAATAAACCAATTAGCGCAGTTGCTGCAGTCTTTCAAGCAAAGGGGCTGCCAAAAGATGCACTGAAATCGACATTCATGCCTCCGCATTGATGGAGACAATAAGGTGGTTCGGGATAATATCAGATTTCAGCACAGAAATACCAACTGGCTTGATGGCCAACTGACAAAATAATCGCAATAAGCTATGTCCCACGTCATAGGGCTAACAATTATACTGAGGACATGGCGACCACTTGCGTGTGAAGTATTTTATGGAAAAACGGACTAGTGTGACATCGACTTCAACAACAAGACTAGAGAGGGTTGTGAGCACAGCAGCTGATAGAATAACATGGTCCGTCTTATAAACGTGCCACACACGACCCGGTTTCTCGTCCGCATGCGCCACAGCTCTGTGGAGTCTCAATACCCACGGAAGTGTAGAAAGGTCACATAAAGATGAGGCCACCGCAGCCTGACCCTCGTTTCGAGGGAAGACAGCACAGGTCTGCCAACTTCCAGCCCTCCAGGTCGCAACCTTTGTGTGTCATGAGTTTCAAACGTGCTTACCCTTCTCGCATGAGACAGCAGCCTGCACGAGCCTGTCGGCGAACTGATGAGGGAATGAAACATAAGGGCTGGTGTAGTGTGAGCCCACGTCCTACACATACGTAAAAAAATTATTAAGGCCTCTGGGGAACCCGGCGCACCCTGACTAATGCATATCGGGAAGACGGGTTGCCCCGGGAAGACGGGTTGCCCGGGAAGACGGGTTGCCCGTTAGCCTAGCTGCTGGCTACCCGGCGCGTCCACAGGTGGCGGATAGTGGGACGACCTTCAGTGAAGGTTAGCTGCGAAATAAGCAGACCCAAGTCTGACGAATAAGCAGTCGCGGACCAGCAGCGACATTGCTATCAGGGTGCGGTGGGCTGAAGTCTGGCACGCTGAAAGCCTTATAAAATGCCGCAAAGCCCAATGACGGCATTGTGACATGGCGACCGTAAACCGCCATTAAGTAAGTTTACTTGCCACCGCTGCCTTGTGGTTAGGTTTTTAAGCCAAAGCGCTAGAGGAGACAACCTCGAACAAACAATCCGAGCGGCTGTTGGGGACCCGCCCGTATTCGAAATTCCCAAGAAACCTCATGCAGCATGTCCAATCACAGTACTACGACCCATGCTACGGCGTCCGCGGGAACCGACGCGCTCCGCAACCCTAGTCTAGTGGTGCGGGCGAATAGTATGCGAGCTGGACTACTCAATCGTGGAAGGACTCTCGGTATTGGATGCTGGAATGTACGAACGTTCCTGGATCCTGGTACCCAAAGTCTGACCGCACGCAGCCTTCATCAGTACAACGTGGATGTCTGCTGTCTGTCTGAGGTACGACTCCCTGACTCGGGCTCTCGTGAAATAAAGATCCCGGGAGTCGAATCCCACTTCACCCTGTACCACAGCGGCCCCCGCGATTCCTCTGGTCGACACGGTGTGGCGATCGCCCTATCACAACAAGCGGAGCTTGCGCTACTTGCTTGGGAACCAGTAAATGACCGGATGGCCTACGTGCGACTGAAGGGTCACTTCACGAACATCTCCATCGTCGCTGTGTATGCACCAACTTCGGCTGCCGAACAGCGCGATAAAGAGGCGTTTTACTCTCAGTTGCAAGCGCTAGTTGAAATACTGCCTCGCCGCGATCTGCTGATTGTTGCTGGCGATTGGAATGGTCGAACTGGACCTGGCGACCCCACAACCAGTCATCTTCTTGGCCGCTTTGGGCTTGGTTCCCGATGTGAAAATGGTGAGAGATTGCTGAACTTCGCTGATCGAAACCGACTGCTTGTCACCAACACATGCTTCCAGCATCGTAAAAAACATCTGCTGACCTGGTATTCAAACGACGGTCGTACGGCCAGTCAGATTGACTACATACTAGTCAGCTCAAGGTTCCGCAGCTGGGTTCACGATAGCAGATCGATGCGTGGTGCCGAGACTGGTAACGCCCATGGGTCGGACCATGTCCTCGTCCGTACACGCCTGAAAGTTCACCTCTCATCCGCACCAAAAATGCCACGTCCTAGACGCCTCAATGTCGCAAAAATCCGGCAAGCCAGCACTGCCGAGGCCTTAAGCAGAGAAATCCGGACCTGTTTTACGGCCCGAGCCGACGGAGAAGTCAGTAACCAGTGGTTGTCACTGAAGACATCAGTCTATGGGGCAGCTGAGAAAATCCTTGGATACACCCAGCGACGCCGCAGTGACTGGATCAGCGGAAGAACCCTGCAGTTGTCTGCTCAGACGGCTAGAGCCAGGTCCCGCAACGATGACTACTTCCGCCAACTTCGGAAGATGACGGCAAAATCGGCCAGGGATGACCGGAAACAATATTGGGCTGAAATAGCGACATCCATGGAACAGGCCTCGAACGTTGGTGACACTCGAAAGCTCTATCGTCTGATCCGCCAAGTTAGCGGTAAGCCCTTTACACTGAGTGACTCTGTTCGCGATGTGAACGGCGGCTTTATTGCTGACAACTCGGCCAAAGTCGAGCGCTGGCGTGAGCACTTTGAGCACCATCTCAACTTCGATAGCTAACCTACATCGCCCTTGTTCTCCTCCTCAGCGGAGCTTCTTCCCTCTCCTACCTATGCAGTGCCATGCGATCCCCCCTCCGAGGAAGAAGTCGCCGATGCCATACGAAAGTTGCGCAACAATAAGGCACCCGGAGAGGACGGTATACCCGCTGAAATCTTTAAGTCTTGTGTCGACACTGGCGCCCTGGTTCCATGAGGTGATTGAACGAGCGTGGAGAGACGAGGTTGTTCCTGATGACTGGGGCTTAGGCATCCTTGTACCTATCCTCAAGAAGGGAGATAAGACGAGATGCGAGAACTACCGCGGCATAAGTCTCATCGACGTTGCTGCGAAGATCTTCGCTATTGTCCTACTCAGACGATTCCAGGCTGTGCGTGACTCAAGGACGGGGCCCAACCAAGCCGGATTTCGTGCTGGACGTGGATGCGCAGATCAGATATTCACACTGAGGCGCATTCTCGAATTTCGCCATAGCTACCAACAACCGACGGCCGTCTGCTTCGTTGACTTTGCCGCCGCGTTCGATTCCGTTCACCGTGAGTCCCTGTGGCGGATAATGGCGCTAGATGGTGTACCGGCAAAAATCATCGCCATGATCAAGGCCTACTATCGTTCCACTACTGCGAGAGTCCTGGTCCGTAACAATTTTTCCCAACCGTTCGGTATTCGGTCTGGCGTCCGACAGGGTTGTATACTGTCACCCATACTGTTCAACTGCGCTATTGACTGGATCCTCGGGAGGGCCCTACGCGACAGTGACGGTGTTGAATTTGCACCCGGACATCGACTGACTGATCTCGACTATGCCGATGATATCGCCTTACTTGCTTCAAGTTTTGCTGATCTGCAGTCTATGGTGTCACGAGTGAACGAGGTCGCTAAATCAGTCGGTTTGTCCATAAACGCTGGGAAGACCAAAGTATTTTTAAGCTGCATCCATGACCAGGAGAAGGCACCCCTGGGGATTGATGGCTGTCAACTTGAAGGAGTGGACAGTTTTAAATACCTCGGGGCGCGGCTGCTGCCTAATGGACAGAGTAAGGACGACATTGTCTCTCGAATCGATGCTGCCCGCTGGGTTTTTTCAAGCCTTCGGAAATGCCTGTGGAACCGACGTGACCTCTTCATCGCCACTAAGATTCGCGTGTACCGTGTATCTGTCCGGTCTGTCCTTCTCTGCGGTTGTGAATGCTGGGCTTTGCGCGTGGCGGATGAGCGAAAACTGGAGGTATTTGACCACCACTGCTTGAGGATCATCCTTCGAGTGAAGTTAACCGACTTCGTCTCAAATGAGATAGTCCGCGCTCGCTGCGACAACATCGCGAGGATAACTCAGGCCATCCAAGAAAGACGACTGAGGTGGCTCGGGCATGTTCTTCGTCGTCCACCTCAGGAGCTCAGTGTTACTGCCCTCGATCCGGCACCGTTGCCCCATTGGAGGCGTCGAAGAGGGGGTCAGTTCAAAACCTGGCTCGACACTGTCCGTCAAGACATGGAGGTGGTTCTTGGACCTTCGGTATTCGGTCTCCGTCGTTGGCGAAGGGAATGGGTTGAGCTGTCTAGATCTGCTGCCGCGGATCGTCACGCGTGGAGAGGTACAATTCGGGACATCATCGAGGCCGGCTAGATCAGGCATGATCGCAGCCGTATCAAGTACAAGTAAGTAAGTATCGGGAGCCAAGGTGACCACCCTTCTGGTCTAACGCAACGGCCGCAAAGCCCGACTGGAGGAATGGGAGGCAACACGAGAGTAACCACGCAGATTTACTGCTTGTGAGCGCGCGACTGGGTCTGCATCAAAAGCCTTTCCGTCTAAGCAGTTCCAAATCCACATAATTCAGCATAGTGGAACAGTCAGATGCCCCTGGGCAGGACGCCACGAGCCACTGAAACAAGAACCTTAACTAGCCCGTGTGGGGAAACGCCACAACGTCACTGCAAAGGCCGCAGATGCTCAAGGCACAAGTCGAAGGCTCCACTTACTTAGCGACTGATGAGCGGGCGTGCCCGGGTGGACACATTTATATGGAACTTAGAGCACTGCGGCGTCAAAGAACACAGTTTGTCGTGACATACTGAAGCAGACATCTGCAGAATATGGCATCGGACTTGGAAAGAGGCTTAGTTAGTAGCAATACACGGAGTAACCGTCTACCTCTTCGGTAGAAAGGAAGACGGAGGGAAAATAAGACGGCAGACCAGGAAGTCCACTACCTTCCCGAGTTGGCGGTTGATGCGTTATGAAGAGTATTCTGCCGGGTCGATCAAAGTGATAACTAGGGGACTGGGAGGCACCTTCACCGCATCTGTCCAATCAATGCCTCCATAATCAAAACGGATGAAAAGAGGCCCAGGTAAAAAAGGACTGCCAGATAGAAGCTACGAGTTGTTCTGGTAGGGTTTCTATGCGAAAACCAGAAGACACGAATGAGAGAACCGCCGCCATAGGAGCATAAGCCCACTCAAAACAGTCATCAGGGCATTTCTTAGCATTATTCCCAACAGGTTCCACAACTCCATGTTTGCAAGAATGAAGAGAACACAGAGCTGTTTGCTCTGACAGAGGAAGGATAGTCACCTTGTGACTGATCCAAAGACAATAGCACTCCTTTTGGCAGATGATGGCCTTTCTATTTCCTTGATTCGGCTGCAGTTTCAGACTTAATTAGCAGAATTGCTTTTTGGAAGGTCCTAGGGACTAAAGTTACACCACCAGCCCCCCCTGATTAAAGGTTCGGGGAGCTAAAGTGGCAGGCTTTCTGTCAAATACGTCAGGCCTGAGAGATGGCGTACGCACTTCGGATAGCGTTTCATTTTCAATGACCAGCACATCACTGTTCTCTTCCGTGGCGGAATTTCACCCTTCTCTAACCAATACCGCGTGGCGTGACCCCTCCTTTCAGAAAGAATTATTTGATTCTACACTGAGGTTATGCAACGATAACAACAATAGGGCGACCGCAGAGGACGGTATGCAAGCTGAAGCCTACAAGTCTTGTACCGACGCTGAGAGTTCGCCTACGTTAGGTGACTGGGTAAGTAAGAGGAAATGAGTCCACCCCAGGTGACGGGGTCTGGGTCATCCTTGTTCCAGTCTTCAAGGAGAGGCGTGTTGCCAACAGTCATCATGACCATGTCTGGTGCCCTTGAGGCCTCATTACCTCAAGGTCATTCATCTTCGCAGCGAGCGGTTTTAGATGCGCTGATCTGCAGACGTACATGCGCCCACATAGTCCCGGTCGTCCATGCACCACCACCACCCCTGCGAATGCAGCACAAGCCCACCACCACCCCTCGACAAATCAACACACACAAATTGGACACCACTTCAGACTGCACCACAAACCTACAAAGTCAGCTGACACCAGTCTCATGAACTCTCAGGCAGGACTGGACGCAGTCCTGGCTTAGCCAGCGACCGCTGTCGCCTAGACATACAACTCAGAGTTCTGTATACAATTCACCCCCCATTCTGGTGACTTCTGTCTTTTCCTTATGATTGTAGCGCTCTGAGTGCTCTCATCGCTTAGACGCTACAGGCGTAAGCAAAAGTGCAAGAACCGCCAAGGAATAGGTCTCACCGACAAAGCTCGTTGCCATCGTTGCTCACAGATTCCAATGTGTGTGTGTGACCCTAGGGCAACAAAAGCAAACTGGATTCCGAGCTGGACCGGGATTCACCGACTTTATATCGCACTGCAGCGCCACCACTAATTCCACCATAGGTTGTAACAGCAACCGACAGCAATCCACCTTGTTAACTTTGCCGCCGCGTTCCATTCTGACTAGTGAGTCCCAGTGACAGACAGTGGAGTTAGACGGAATGTCGACAAAGACCGTGGCTGTCATCGGGGTTTGCTGTAGCTCCGCACCACCAACCTCTCGATACTTGTTTGACAAAGTTGCACTATACAGCGCATCCGATTCAACCACGGCATTGGTTGAACTCTCGGAAGGACCCCACGCAGTTTTCATGGTGTCGAGCGCCGGCAATCTGTATTTCTAACCAGGAAAAACCACCTTATCTGGATTGCTGGCTGTCAATTTGAAGAGCTGAACAACTTCTAATACAGTGGAGCGGGCTTTCACTGTCCTTCGGAAGTCTATGCGTCTGACGCGATATCTGTCGCCACGAGGGCACGCGTCTCGGCTTGGCGCTCGTAAGAGGATCAAAAACAGTTGTCTGAGAACCATCTGTCGGGTGAAGACCACCGACTTCGTCTCGAATGAGACACTCCACACTCACTGCAAAAACATCGCGAGGATATCCTACGCCATCGAAGAAAGACGACCGAGGTGGTTTCAGTGCGCTCTTCGTCTCCTAGTCCAGAGGCAAAGACCACCCGGCGCATGCAAAGAGATCAGCCCAAATCCCGACACAACAAAGTCCGTCATGACATGGAGGCGGTTCTTCGACCTTTGGTATTCGGTCTGCATCACTGGAGGAGTGTGGGCTTAGTTCTCCAGATCGGCTGCCGCAGGTCATCGCACTTAAGAGGTATGCTCTGCGATGTTATGACCGGTTACGTCAGGCAGGGCCACAGTCGTGGCAAGTACAGGTGCATGGTGAACAGAGCGAACACTCCGCCAAAGATGCTCCGAACCAGAAAAAACTGCCTCTTCTCGCCAGTTATCCATAACTAAATTAGATGTACAATCTCAGGAAATATCAACCGAAATTCAGAAATGTTTTTGGCTTGAAAAAATCACTTAGGTGGGGTTGTAATATTAATTGTCCTGCATCATAAGCCAAAGCATTTCAGTCCCGTCAAAATTTCGGCTTTCAAACGGGCTCCTTTCTAGTCGCCTGTAAAAAAATACACGCCATGAAAAGTGACCACTTATGAACTGTGAATTTTCCCCACTGATGTAGGCGAAGATAACCACGACAATACCAATGTTGGGCTTGGTGTCTATGCTGGAGTTGCCGAGTACGGTAGCAGTGTTCGCAATGTAATTGTCTACGCGGCCACTTCGTAAAAATACCTAGAAAAAAACTTCCGCTGCCATTTTGGGCCTTCCGAAGTGTTCAAAAATAAATTCCAGTAACACCCAACCTGAATGCGCATGCGATCAGGGTGCTGACTCAGGAATCCACAAGTCTTGCTGAGATCATTCATGTTAAAAGTATTACAACTAGGAGAATAAGCAGATAATAACGCTGATGCCAAAAGTACTTCTGGAAACATAACGTAATGGAAGGAATTGTACCTTTCGTTCAAACTTGCGTTTCTTCACAAGACTGCAATTATCAAGCCCATGGGTAAAAAACTAAAAATGATGGAGACTGAGAGGATACTTTCGATTCACACAGCGGGAGAAATTTATGGTCTGAAAACAAAGATGAGATTCTAAAATATTTTACCTCCAAAGCAGTATGTGTGTGCGTCTATTCCTCTTTTTGCAAGATATAGGCCTCCGAGGCTCTAAAGATGAGCGAAATTTAAATGAGCTACAGTGTGTGTGACCGCATCAGGAGAGTCATCCAAAACAACTAATGAATTTGTAAAGCCTTCCTCGCGTACAGTCTCTAAAATTGACCTAATCCGATGGAAATGAACAGGAAATAGGAAAAACTTTATGAAATTTTCAGTGCACTTGGGCAGTGACTGAAATTTCTTCCCACTTATCTCTTGGAGATGTACGGCAACGAAAGCAGGCCGGTTTGCCTCAATGACCTGGCACAACTTCCGTTAAATATGAGTAATAGAAACCTCAAAGATATTTCGAAGGAAAGATGTTTGTTGATCATGATTCTGCAGTTGAGAGTGATCTGTTTGCAAATCATACCAGAGAAGGATAAGAACCAAGGTTGGCTGAAACGAGAAGCAAGCTCGAGTGCATGTCTACATCGAGCAGGAGCAGTGTAGGTTGAAGAGCATATTTCGAGGCGGATGAAGCTAGTGAACCTGAATAAAGGGCGCCGACGGCTAACTTTTATCTTACAGGGTGGGGGTCACAGTAAACAGCACTGTACTAATGTATTCATTTATTACAATGAAAATGAAGTCCGAAAGAAAATTAAAATGGATACCATGGGAATGAAAACGTGACAAAATTTACAGATTAGCGTCAGTAATATGAGTGGGGAAAATGTTTTTAGAAAAATGGAATTATAAACAAGTCTGGGCCCTCTCTGAGTGCCTCCACGTATAGTCAATTGATATATGCACTGCGCGTAGCCGTCGTTTTATCCTGTCCGGTAACTTTCTGGATAGCTTACAGTCGTACCTATGTCTGAGTTAATAATGACACTGGTGATTCACCGAGGTATTATTCAAGCTGACACACGGAACCCCGGGATAACAGAGCTGTACGACTGAACCCGCCTCTATGTTAAAGGAAAAAACTGCAGGCCGTTCGATCATGAAGACGTCGGAATATATCGCTTCTGTGCAGTGTAATAAGTTCGTCATACATATTTATGAGGCCGAGATTTTCCAAGGTTATGTTCCAGTCGCGTTGCAACCGTTGTAACTGGAACTCGCTGGAGGAGTCTGACTCCGCACAGTTGTGGATGACTGTTGGCGAAAATAGTTCCGACCCGCAGACTTCCAACTCTCCTGCAAACGTAGCAGTTCAATATCGTCGCCAATTTCATCGGATTGAGTAATGACAGTCCGTCTCCATAGTAGCAAAGTCCTTTTTTCATTAAACTGAAAAGAACTGCAGACGCATGTCCCTTGTTCTCATGCAATCCACCGATAAATGGCGAAAAGTTGCCTCATCTTCATTCATCACTCCGCCTAGGTAATCGTTCATGCGGGCCGCCCAGCAATCCAAATGCCTGACCGAGATGTCTTAGCAGGAGGAGTGCACAGTAACGGAGGCGTCGGGAACTTCTGCAGGTCTTCAAAGAGTTACCTTGCTAAATTGTCTACTACGTCAAATGCGGCACCGCTGCTCCAAATTGAGGCCTTCCTGATCAGATCTAGGACGAATCCAAAAGAGAAATCAAAGAAACTTATAAAAATGGAGCGTGTACTAAATATATCTTAAGTGTAATCCTTGATTCTATTGTATACAGGTCGAGTCACAGGGGTTCCTGGTCAACGGCAAAGTTGGTATATAACAGAAGGCCGAAGGTGGCGCGCCCCGTTCCGATCAGAAACGCTATAATTTGGTGGCAGCGGCGAGATCGGCGATCGGCGCCAATTGTTCTGCCAAAGAGAATAGGACCCACATGAGCACTGACGCCAAGGCGTCTGAGTGCTGGTGTTCACACCGCTTGAGATGCACAGGGGTCATTCTTGCACAACCCGGCAGGGTAGTCGCACAAGCATCCTGGAGCGTCTCTTCTTGCCGGGCAAGACGGAGAGCGTCATCCAACTTGGTGAGCTGCTGACGGAGGAGGACTCTGTGGACCTGAGGGTCTGGAATGTTATTTATGAACTGCTTGAGAAGCACTACTCGAGGAATTCAGAAGACCATTTGGCAAGCATACGCAAGCTTTCGATAGATTCTCATCGGGTCAGTACATTTATATGGGAACGAGGTACAAAGTGAAACGTGTGAGCGATAAAAGAAACCGAATACGGTTCGTATTTTCATACAAGCATGCATGTCTCCGCTCCCTCGCCCCCCCCCCACCCCCTCCCCATGTGATACGGCTTTACCTGGCGTCCCACTGCCTCCTCTCCCCCCCCCCCTATTTACACACCCTGTTTGTATGAAAAGACGTACTGCAATCGATCTCTCTTATCGCTTACCTTTTTTGCTTTGTACCCCGTTTCGTCGTGGGATCTGGGCGAGTCACCCCTGTCACTTATGGTAGGTTGCATCATGTAACATTAAGCATTTTGTAGGAAGCAAAAGACTCATACCTGGATTCCCTGATAGACTGCCTGAACGCAGGCTGATGAACAGTAAATGTAATGCTACCTGTCACACATTGCTTTCATAGATTACCGTGATCAAACAGTTCGCGCAGAAGTCACAGTTATTCTGTAGCAACTGGGACGGCAATGGAAAGAACAAAGACTAATACGCAAACAGTTGGAATGGATGGCTAAGAGCAGCCTTCGTGTGCCTGACCGGCTGCACCTCATGGGGTGCCTTGAGGAAGACGGACAGTCGGCATCAAATGACACGATGGCCGCCTTGCCCTATCATCCCATTAGGCGGCCGATATGCGTAAAGTTCGACTTCTTTGGCGTCAACAGCAGGCTTTGTGACCCCAAGTCCAGAAGTAGACCAGGGCGTATTTTTCGAGAGATTTTTGGGTCTGCATTGGCGGAATAAACGCGGATAACTTTGTCAAGAGGGTGTTTTATGTCCTCTTTGATGACGAGATCACCGGGCACATAGCTTTCAAGGGAAATAATGAGGAGGGCTTGTGTGGAACACAGGTATACAAGGTAATCAAGGTACGTAACTGCCTCTGCATGTCTTACACTGCTAAATAGGTGCGTGCTGTACGAAACAAAGGCGGCCGTGTTGAAGTTTACGAGTTGGCAGGCGCCTTCACGAAACGACTAAAACGTCTCGTCGACGCAGTCCGGGAGCGGCCGTGTCGGCCAGAATCATTATTGGACGATAGTGACGGTGAGTGTTTCAGTTCCCTTAGCACAATTCCTCCGTTTAGAAGCAACCGCAGGCGCATCGTGTCCCTTATCGAAGACGCAAGAGGGTAATTGAGATCATTCCCTAGTTGTATTGTAATTTTTTACAATAACAGCATTTTTCCCTACGTAAAGGGCGAAACAAGTTTTACTTTGGGAGATACACAGTATGCAAACTGATGAACCACATGGGCTAGCAGGGAATACAATTCGTCGGCCCTAAAAGACGTACTGCGCAAAGAAAACCATATCCGGTGCTGCCGTCGCATAGCGTCCTATCTCGACTTCTCTCTGTCGACTCGACAGCGACCTTTTTGACAAAATTCGCTATAAATCGGTTATATTTGTCGCGTCTTATCCACAGCGAGTCGCTGTTGCCCCGATATGCAATCGCTACTAGGGATATAAGTGTACTGGCTCGATGATAATTTATGGAAAGCACTACTCGAGTCCAAAAACAACGCTTCGTAAAGCCCTGCTCCGTCAGCTGCCGGCCAAGTTGGATGACGGTCCTCCTCTTGCCGGACAAGAATAGGCGCTCCGGGCTGCTTGTGATCACAAGCAGCAAATTTGCTTTTGAGCAGGCATATTCAAATGAGTTCACTGTACACATCAATCGCCTTAAACCCGCACCAACGACGGATGAGATATCGACTGTTCTAGACTGCAAGCCGGCCCATCTCACCGGAACGAAAGGCAGTTCATTGAACAACGTCTGGAGGTTAATCTTGGAGGGGGCTACGCGAGGCACGAAAAAGACGGTAATGAGCAGCAAGTCGAAGAGATTGTGGAAGCACCCCCTGAAGGGGGCAAGGCCATTGCGATACCAAATGCTTCTGATGACAGCAGGTCCTTTTCGTAGAAGGGGGCAATGTAATGAACTGTAACCTAAAACCACTACAATTTATAGGGCTGGTGTTTTCGAAAACACCAACCCTGATCGGGACCAACTTTGACTATGCATATTGGTAAGCTAACGCGTAGTGTCTTGCTTGTTATAATTTGGTCTTCTTAAAAAAATTACTTAGCATAAGAAATGTGCTAAAAATACAAATTAAGTGGAATGATCATGAGTCGGCTCAAGTTTGTTATGTTTACCTTTCATAATGCTTATCGAGCAAGCACAAGGTTGGACTCGCATCTTTGGACTACTGGAACGCCTAAAGCCCCATAAATGCGCCAGAAAGTCCACCAAGGGGCAAAATAGGACGCACGAGCCTCGGCTTATAAGCCGACCTTGTTAGCGACCTTTGCTGTTAAGCACGAAATCCTGCGGCCCTGCCTGTGTACATCAGGCCATTAGCAAGGACTGTAGTAGGTTCAATTTAACAAACGTCCCATTATTTTTTATAAATTGCCGTGATTTTTCTTCGCGTTCGTCTTCAGCCGGATCAGGGGGCGATGGGGCCGTTAAAAAGGAAACGCAAAGACAGCGCTCCAACCACTTCTTGCATCAGATAACTAGATAACCGAAGAAAGGGAGAAGTAGGAAAGACTAAAACAAACTAATATGCAATAAAACTACAACACAGTTTAGGGGAACTAAGAGCCAACTGAAAATCGGGTAGAATATCAACCGAGTAGAGTTTTCAAAAAGCACGAAACACTGTTACATCAAACTGATCACTGTCAACGCCTACCACAGATCTTTCCTTTCCTTCCTCGGCAGGTCTACATTATTCATTTCGTCACTTTTTAGACTGAAAAGGTGTGCATAAATTCCTTTCGAAGTTCTTTTTCGCTATCATAAATTTTGATTTCCTACTGGTACCTCCCTTTAAATCTCTTAGTCGTTATTTGTATTCATCCGCTCTAATCTTCCTCTTAACTGCATTTTGTGACCGCGCACGTATCCATTTCCTTAGAACATATCATTTTATGCTGATTGCTTGGCGGATGGCTTTCTCTTTCTTTTGACAAGTTCATGCGGCGCTGTTATTATTCATTCGTTTTTTGTATCTTTTGACTTATATTTTCACGAGTTGTTTTGAAAGATTTCGGCCACATTCGGGCGTTTCACGTAGTGCTGCCTCTATTACAGCAAATGTGCTGAAATTTAGTCAACTGTTCTATGGAGTCAGCTGATAATGCGCACAAACGTTCATCTTTCGTTACTAATAACTGCGCCTTTGACTTAGCAATTTGCTCTTTGCTGAAATTTGACCGATTATTTTACTGACATCCCATGCATAGAAAAGATTAAAATTAAGAAATCGCTGTCGAAGAATGAGGCGATGTTAACTACAGGCATCGAAAAATATGCACTTTCTGCCGCGTTGTCATAGTCACAATGCGTTTTTCGTTTGGGTATGTGCACAGAGTGCACTGTCGCGTATCACAGTCGGTTCACCCGCTAACACAAGCTGTTGGAAAACTGCTGTTGATTATGCGAATGAAATATATATGTACTGGCAGACAATCCATCAAACGGATAGGCGATTGCTTAATATGATATACTAATGAATGCAGACTAAATATCTGGCGGACTGGAACGAGGTCGCCAAAAGAGTGTGAAAGCTAGGGTACAGCTCTTCTTCAGTGGCGTCAATACGCTCTGTTCATGTCTAATTCCAAAGGATGGAGATAGCAAATTATTCTCCCGCCCCGCAATACAACTTGTAACCACCGTAATTTACCGTATTGAAGTCTTTCAGAATGGGCCGAATAAAAGAATCAAACGAATAGGAAGACCGGCCGAGACAGCTAAAAGTTGTCCTTTAGAAGCGAATGCAAGCGCATTCACAGTTGACACGGAAATCCGTACTCCGAAAGTCCACCCTACAGTTTTTTTTCTGCAGGAATTCTAACCTGCGCAGAGGGAGACGTGGAGAGAGCTCAAAGCGGAAATCATCAAAGGTCAAGCTTGAGCGAGAAATAACTCAACAAAATGAGCTGGCGCATTATATATGTTCAGAGGACACTCCTCTGGAGAAGGCCTATAACTCTGACAGCTTGGGCGTGGTGGACGCATCCCATTACGATCAGCCCCGACTGGCTATTATGTTCAATCCCATAAACTGGACAGACTGCAGTAAACCGGAGTTGCTCAGACCAAACTAAAACTTCTGTATGCCAGTGCTTAAATGTTCGTTTCGGAAATCGGCGAACTCAAAGCGATATTTTCATAGCAAAACCTCAATTTAATTGTCATAAAGGAAACATGACTTAGAGTCGGAATCGTGAATGTCGAAATTTCGATGCAGGGTTATCGGCTCTTTCGCAGAGGCCGTCAAAACCGACAGGGCGGTGGGGTAGTCGTAAATGTACGGACAGGAACTTCAGTAGCTAAACGGGTCCACACCCTTCCTCTCGAATATGAGTTCGTCTGGGCAAAGATAGAGAAGAGCGGCGCACAAAACTTTGAATTCCTGACTGTTTACGGACCACCAAACCTTCCGAGCGCAACTGATGAGTCACTCCTCCATTTTCTCAAGGAAGTAGCTAGACACTAAGAAGCTCCTGTTGCTGGGAATTTCAGTAGACCTGCAACACAGTGGAAAGTTTGGCAGTGGGTGGTACGTTCTTCGCACAAAGCCAGAAGAGTAGGGGAGGCCAGCGAAATATATGTAAGGCAGATTTTAACATGTCGCAGAACGAATTGGTGTCCGTGAATTGAGATCGTTTGCTCGACGGACGTGGAACGGACTCTCTGGTGAGGAGGTACTATCAGAGACTGCTGTACCCTTTAAATGCAGACTAGGTGCTCATTTGCTGAGAGACTACTGTACATATACTCATGATTATGTCGGCACAATTGTCCAGTGAACATACAGAAAACGACTAGTTAATCTGGCTGGTTAACTAGGGACCAGAATAGACCGTTAGAAAAGAAAAGTAAAAGATGCACGATACACAGGGAAACTGGATCGCAAGTGAACATCATGGAGTTCCGTCCTCAACGAAATGCAGACAAAAATTGCAACCGTCAGGCAAGGAAGGAATATGAATTCAGAATTATCCGACAGGCTGAACAAAAGCCCAAGATTTAATTCTGATGTATTTACTCTCGACTGAAGACAAGGAAGCAGTTTCAGTACTTCAGGATGTTAATAGTCTACAAGTCTCTACAGGAAGGGCCAGAATGCCGAACACATGGGACGGTTCTTTGCCTTCGAGTTTCACAGAGAAATAGAGTTTCACAATCACAATGTCAGCAGTTGCCACCATTCCCATGCATGAGTCCATAATCTTCCCGACAAATGTCGTGGGAAGAGAGCTGCAGAATTATAGAAAAGCAGCTTCGTCAGGCTCGGATAATATACCTTCCGAATTATCGAAAGAATAATAACGATAATAATAATTTTTATTCAAAACCCGTAGGAGTCCTATCATTGGCAAAAGAACTCTCTAACTCACTGTTCTACATTTTCAGTTTCGGTTGGTTTGGTACTTTTAGTTTACAAATAACGATTTCTCAACCAACGTTCCTTTCTGGTGAAGGCATATCCGTGACGAAACTAATGCCGCCCCCTATGAACATTGCGCTTCTTCACCTCTACGCTCACTTCGATCGATGCGGACAAGTTGAAATGCGTCCGGCATTACTTCCGCGTCCGCTACCTGCTCAGTCAACCATGTTTCAGTCAGGACTACAAAGTACGGTTGAAAGTGGGCCACAATGAGTTTACTATCATCCCTTTTGTGGAAGAGACTGTGTAAATATGAGTTATTCATTACCATCTTTTTGGTTTACTCGGTCTCTGGAAATTGTTTATTGATTCTTGCGCCTGAAAATTATTGCTGCACATTTTGCATGACATGTTTGATTCTCGGTCTGTCTTGAAGTTTAAAAGTGCTCTGTGGAACCGATGTCTTGCGTAATAACCGGCAGTTGCACTAGACGATTCAGTGGAAACTGACGTTCGGTTTTTGGTGATTTCGTAGTCTACGATCTTTAGATTTTTCTCCCTTGCTATGGCACCTTTTCAGCTCTGCTATCAGTGTTCACCTCTTCATTCGATCGATGGGGGATTATTCTGGCTGAAAGGCGCTCCATGAGGTTTGTTTCGTTGCCGGAATTTTCCTTACTTTTCCTTATTTTTACTCTATCGATTAGCTAAGGATCTTCGCTCGCTCGTTTATTTTTTGTGCAAACAGACTCTGTTGACTGCAGATTTGTCAAACTTAACCAAATGGAGCACACAGGGTCATCTCCATCTGCTTTCACGTCGTTTACGTGCATTTCGTTTAAGCTAGACATTTGTTCCAGAGACTTCACTCGTTTTCTCGCTTTTGCTAGTCAATTATGGCGTTCATCGATGCATACCGTTTCCTTGGAATATTTTTGGTCCGGCACACATCCGTTTTCTGGTTTCTTTAGAAAAGACTCTGGGAGAATAGAATTTGTTATGTTATATAAACGCTGCCATTGTTTTTGTGGGACGATCTAGGTCACTTCTAATCTCAGAACTCGGGTTGCGAGTTTCAGGCGTCCATAAAAGCTGTCATCATTTCATTGTTTAAAGCATTTGCGTTCGATTTCGATAGCATGCAGCATTCTTCTGTATTGGTTATTTGTGGTTCATCGCGCCCAGGGAAAAACGATTCAAGTATATGCTGTGCGTCTATTTCATGCGAAATAGAAAACAGTTAATCGAAGTGGAGAATGAAATACTTTTTCAGGTATGAGCTCGCTTGGCACCCGGCAGCACGACTGCGTTTCAGTTTTTATGAGCTTTGGTCGCCAGCGAAGAAGTCCCGTGTTCAAACCCTGCTCGGGATGCTAAAATTCTTTCAGGCTCAAAAACGTTGTGAAAGTTTGCAATTCCGATACCACCGGGATTTCTCCGAGACTGCACCAGCTTATTAACTTTTGGCTTAAGTCTCCGGGAAGCAAGCTTGCTGGGTGAGAGGATAAGTCCTTTTTTGAAAGAAGTTCAATATGAAATTTCAATTTGAAGCTAAGAGTGACATAGCTTCCGAAGTTCGCTTGTCATCATGTCTCTATTCCTTGACTCCCTGCAATGAGCCACGCGGTAGATGCAATCGACCAACAAGGGGACTACATCAGGTTAATGTGCTCATTACCGGGCTGAGTATCCATAACAAATGCGATATATGAGGGTGTGATGGTAAGCCTAAACACAGGCCCATGCGTATCTGCCCTAGCCTAAATCGAACCAAGCTGTCAGGGTCTATAGCATATAGGGCACACGATGAGAGCTGTTTTCGTCCTAACTCATGGACTTTCAGCGCATATAAAAATTGTCATCACCCACACATATGTTACCTCTCACTTGGACTGTGCTATCAACATCTCCATACACTAAAATTATCCCATGCAGTCACAATGACTTCTTAGTGGCTTTACCAATTGACCTGACTTGATATTCGTACAACAAGCCAAATTCGGTAATCGATTTCCTGGGGCCATTAGTCAGATAAAATGCTTGGCTCATTACAATTCCACACTAATTCATCTTCCTTCGAAAATTGCATCGCATGAATGTTTTATTGTGCTTTTCAACACAGCGTGCTTTTATCTATTGTCTGACAGCACAGAAGTGCACCGTTACCCTTCTAATAAGGTTAGCGTAGGTGCTACCTGTCGCGTAAAAATGTTCTGGTTTTTGTTTCACAAGATGTGCGACTGTGCTACGGGCGTCATCCGTCAAATTGCTAAGCGGCTGTATTTTTGCTTTAGTGCGTCGTAACACGTGAGTTCCGTTTTCTTCGTCTCCTAACTAGAGGTCGTGGAGGAGTGCTAGCCGAATTCTAAACAGAAAGGACACTCTCTGCCTCGATGTCCCGTCAAAGAGAGGGGCCGACAGAGTTGTATAGATCGTCTTTCGTATATCCCTTCAACGCCGTTGGATGCACCGTGTTTTATGCCCTTACGATTTCAGTAGAAGCTTTTGGTTGCCAACAAGGTAGCTGATTTATTTCCATTGCGGACTTCTTAAAACGGGCGCGTGAGAATCTTGATTGAACCAGATTCAGTATCAGATCAACTAAAAAACTTCTGGGACTGAATCAAACACCAGTTACTCTGGCAGGTACTGAAGAGGAAGGCACTACTAACATGAGCGGCTTTAACTTCGTAAACTGCTCTCGCAACCTTCTCGTTGCGTTTAATTTTGAGAGGTTGCACGTCATACTGTCCAACAAGAGCACATTTACACGGATCCTTTCCACTAAATGTCATTACTAGGGTTTGTTTTTCTGAGCTAATTGGCTTGTCAGATTTACACGCGTTGCCTGCATTTGCGGGTCTAGTTGGCCACGAAGTCAGAATGAGGCCTCTCAGAAAGAAGAGCAAGAACTCCTCGTATTTCTCCCATGATTTTATCATCGAGAATCACGGGGATATCGTTAGCGTTGTTGCGATGGTGTTCATCGTTGGCATGCTGTTTAAGGTATGTTACACCTATTTAACTTACACCAACCTCATTAGGGAACTGCCCCTGTAGCATCCCTCTTCATATCAATGCAGCACAATGAAAGTGTCGAGAGTACGTTTGTTATTCTTCCAATTACCGTCTTGCGCAGAGACCTCAGGTCCACCGGATCTGCTTTACACCACTGGACGGTACGATTTCTGCGCTATCTTCTTCTACTCAACCGTTGCTATAATTTTGCATGCAGTAGCCCAGGAATACATGCTGGATGTAAGTTGTTGATTAAGGCTCGAAAGATTAGAAAATAACGCGCAAACTGCACCTACCTCGTTCCAGTCAATCTAAGTTCAGCGAATCTGGACAGCTTCTCATTTTCTACGTTGCCTCTGTATATTGGGCAGTTTATGCGCTGATAAATGAAGGATTTCTGTCAAGTTTGGGCGGACTGTGGGCCGAATATCCACATGCCCATTTGCCCTTCTGGATTAAGCTATTCTTCATCTTTCAGGCATGTTCCCTCTAAGTTGACGCTCTTCAGATAAGTTATTGGTTGCACAACTACCCGGAGCTCTACTTCCAAAAAGCGAAGAAAAGTGAAATCCCCAACAGAGTTTTCTACTCAACTCTTTACCTCATTGGTGTAACGGCAGCCTATTTCATGAAGTAAGCTAGTCACCATTACTCACAGGGAACGTAGTTTCACGAAACTTGGCATCGTCCTTTTGATTATTCACTACACAACGGATGCCTTTTACCACTTCGCACGAATGATGAAGTTCTATGGTTGGCCTCTTGGTGCTAAATTAGGGTGAGTTTCTTTTTGAGCGTCTTACTCAGAGTATTTAGGTTTTCAATTTTCAATGGCCTGTACGTACCTTCCCGAGTTATATGCACCGTCCTGGCGTTTCTTACGTTCTAGTAGGTCTTCGGATTATTGTAAAATTATGCTTTAGCTACGGCCTGCCTCAATACAGCGTCCCGACTATGAGTGTGTCCGATGGAAATTTCAATACGTGGCTTATTAGGTACGTTGCGCAGCGGTGGCTGACTTTTAATTTTCCGTGGGTTCGCTCCTAGCTGAGCGTCCTGACATTTATTACATATTCTCGCGCAGACAAGCACATTTTCCTTAATTAAGCAGGAAAAATTGGATCAGGCATTCTTTTAGTGGTGTGTCAACTCTGTTTGTGCATTTTCCGCCTGACCTGGTTATAAGAATTTTGATGTCTCCTTAGCAGTTTTCATTTCCAAATTCTGACCTCTCTTTGTGCTTGTCTGGCCACAAGCTTTTTTTCTACCTCGAAATCATAGGCTGTTTTCAAATTTCACCAAAATCACTTGAAGTCAAGTCAGGTGTTGCCGTACGCCTCTGTATGCTATCAACTTTTCTTTCAGACTGAACTGTATGCTCTTCGTGCTTCTCACACAAGCCCATATGGTTTGGACCTTCGTCAATTATCAGCTCCGTAAAATCCGTGAACAGAAGGCACAGCAGATGATTAATGCCATGTATACGACAAATGCCGACTTGCAAAGACGAAGGGAGAAGAAAAAGGGTACGTTAGCACATAGTACCTTGATTTTAAATCGTTATCTCCATATTCACGCTCTTTTGGTTTCCTGGGAGATTTGGCCGCAGTAGGTCTTCTAGACAAACGCGCCTTTATTCAGGTGTTTGATTGTCGCTGTATGAAAGTTGCGAAAAAATCGCAGTATATGTGTTTCTTAATTTCATTGGAATTATACATCATATATATAAGCCTCTTTCATAATTCTAAATTCCCGATAGTCATTTTCTTCAACACTGTCGTTGTTACGGTTTAGTTTTAGACGGCCTTTGCTAGGGTTGGTGTTCAAGTTTTGGTTGTTCGCTGCAGCTTCGGGTGTTGTCTTATAAGGACAGTTTTGATTTTCGGTTCGAATATATATAAGCCCTTCTCTGAGGAAGTAAAATTGCTTAGCAGTAAATCTGTAGTTTACGCCCGTTAGGAACACTTGGTGACTCACTGCTGAATTTAACTCATCGCGGTTGCGTCGTGCAGCGGCACAATCGGCGAAACTGTCTGGGCTCCCAGCTAGTGCGGCGGGTTCACCCTAAGGATGCGGTCGGCTATCTAGATAAAAGTCGTCTTAACTATTCGATTGCTGTGGTCACACATGGAACCCGGCCTCTACACGCATACACGAACATCAGCTGACAGTAAAAAGGCAAGACCACCTGTCCCAAGTTGTCATGCATACGCGTAAAACTAAATGCATGTTTGTTTGGGACAACACTCACATTGTTGGTGTCTGTCCGCATAAATAGGGCCAAGAATTTTCGAGACCATTTTAATGATTCATACACTAATTGGCACGTCGAATTAAACGACGCGTACAATACTCGAGGAAAATGTAAAAGGCAGCAGCCAATCCGAGCGGGATGACAGCACATGGTATTTGTTCCTGGCACATCTAAAATCCTAACCATTTCGTGCATTAGTGGACTGGCTTCGGAAGTTTACGGAGTCAAATCTGTTGAATCCCGAGAAAAACTTATTTGCCTTCAGGTGCTACAAGCTTGGGGTTGGGTATGGCTGATTGATGACAGCCAGTAAGTCGAAAGTGGCTATTCAAATCTCGTTTGTCTTCGTCTGTAATCTCCTTCTGAATATGGTCCATCTGCCAGACTCCGCCTTCGAACCTTCTGCGCCGTGTACGAGCGCATATTTGTGTTTCTGGCCTCAGCTGATGGTCGGAGCTATAATTTGCTGGATGAAGGTAGAATAAGTCCAAAACAGCACTGTATTAATCCACCCTCATATGTTTAATAACTCAAGTAGTATGCATTCCGAGATGTTATAATGAGAGGAGAAAGCCCGCTGGAAAAAAAGATTTACTCGTAAATTTTTGAGCTGATTACACCAACCCGTTGTCAGACTAGGTAAATTCTGAGAGGTGGGATTGCCACACTGCTAGTTGAGGACGCAGACAGAGAGATGGGCAGACAACCTTGCGAGGGGGCGTGCATTGTGTTGTGATGGTTGCTGTAGGTGAGGATAGGTGTTGTGCGTCCCAGTTATGGCCCACCGTGTTCGGGGGAAGGGGAGGGTAGGCAGGGACGAACGGCCTGTCGGCGGGATCATACATGTCCGAGCATGCATTAGCAGTTGTTGTTCTTGAGGTGGGTGCTAGTCAGTCCATCGTGATCTGAGACCCCCGTAGTGGACATCTAAGTCAAAGTGGCGGTTGATGCTGTCCGCACCGGAGTACCAAGCCTCGAGGGATTCTCGTGCCTGTTTAGTGTTACCCATAGTGACCACTTCAGTACCTTCCCAGGTTCAGCAGTAGTTATAATCGAGAGCGCGCGCAAACGCGAGAGATAAGGGGTCACATCGGCGGATAGCCAGCTTGTGTTCCTTAATGCGAGTCCCAAGTTGTCGACCCGTGTGACCAATATAAACACAACGACAGTTGGCTCGTGAGATACCATGGAATAATACCGCGCGCAAGGAGGACGCCGACTTGTGGGCGACGCAATGCCAAACGTGTTCAATTGTCGGGCGGTCGCTTCATAAATTTATTGCATGTAGGGCAAGTAATAGTATTTCCACTTTGCCACTTCTCCGCTTGAACTCCGATCTTGTGGTCGCCTCTGACGTCTGAGGCAGTTTTTCACGAAACTGATCGGATATCCGTTTGATCGGGATGATTGGTATAAGTAGGCTAGTTCTCTTAAGAAGGTACTCGCTACTACAGTACTATCCTGTGGTCCGCAAAAGAAGCTGCGTCTGAACTCTTTCTCACCGCGTCTTCCGTCACTTTAGTAGCGAGTATTTACTTAAGAAAGAACCGTATTTGTAATGATGTTTCGGAAACCTCTTCCCCTTCATCACCAGAGTTGTGTGGCTTATATTCCTGCTGGTCTTGAGTTATTCAGTCTTGACTTTTTTGGACCCCACCGAGGAAAGCTCCTGGCGGGTCCGGCGTGACCTTTGTCCTCTTGTGGGCCGACGTAGTTCTAGCCAAAAGGTTACACGAGCCCGCCAGCGGCCATCGTCAGAGGGATAAAAGCTAGTGGGCATCAAATGGGCAGGTTAGAGTTCGTGTGTCGAGCACGGCTATAATACGAGGTGGACAGCAAGACGAAGTAACTCAAGAACAATAGGAGAAATAACCACACAACTTCGATGACAGAAGCGAGGAAGTTTCCGAAACGTCAGTACAAATACAATTTGGCCCATGAATTCGCCCTCTCATGTTTGTTTTCTTCAGGCGATGATGATAGTGATCACTATGTGACTGCCTGCAAATGCTCTAGATCGAATCTCAAGGCGCAAGCGGACGAGTGTATCCCGTAACCTAATCAGTGAAGCCCTTTCCATGATATACATGTGTGCATTTAATGCTGTTGTAGGTAAACGTGAAGAGGATTCAAGGGAGTCACCCGATGCACACTCGTCCGATGTCCACCAGCGCAAGCGGAAATAATTTACTTTTTGATAACTTCAATCAAATGTTTGCTTCCCTCCATGTCTGCCTTCTGCATTCATATGACTCCTATTTTCGGTACCCTTGATGTGGTTGCTCTCTCTTCATCAGACACCCACATCGCCTATCAGCCTCGCAAACTATCATGTATAGCACTTTTCTTCAAACTCTTTTGGTTGACATAGGTCCTTGTCCTCCGTAGGCCGGTGAAAGTTGTGGATATTACTATTAATAAAAGGTCTTTGTTTTCCCTACCACTGCTCAATTCCCATGGATGGTGTACCTGTTGTAAATTAAATTAGTCATACTCCTCTGTACCTATTGCTTCATTACATTCTATCATTGCCTAATCTTTTTGTAGTCTATAAAATTGTCAAAGACGTCACTACCGAGCCATCTTTAGGTCCTACTAAGTTTAATGTAGTCAACATGTCCCCCTCTTTAGTTATTCTGCGTCTTTCTGAGCATTATACGTCATGCAGCCCGGTCTGTTTGAGAAGCCGGTCATAAATCCGTCCTCAGAACCGTTTTTACTGATGAGAAATGTTATCCTTGACTTTTCATTTACGTGCACAAAGACAGCCAGTGTGCTCTTTCTGACGTTTAGTGCTTGTTACTCGTTTGGTCGGCTGGGCTATTGACTCCCCTAACTGTTGGAGGCGGTGAACAAGGCATATCATTTCGTGCAATCAACACCTGTTTTAATTCTGCTGAGATTAGCCTTACCCCTCAGGTTGAGGTAGGGACACATTGACCCAAGTTACCTCTCAATCATACGGTCATTTGTCAAATACTTAAGACGAAAAAGGCACCAGTTACGAAAAAGGAATAGCATTGCGCTGGAAGACTGAAGTAACTAGGTATCGCTGCTGACCGCACGTTGACGTCGCATCTTTCGAGCCTGGTCGAATCTAGTATGCACTTGTGCCGCGCCGGTCTGTCCGGTAATACTGATTCCTAGTGCATAAACGAAACCGGCCGGGTCACTGCGTCTGCTACAGCATACTGACCAGTCCTCAATGCCACCTTTGTGTTTGGGTTGGATTATTCGGACACGGACCTACTACAGTCTCAGTGGCCCTAGGACTTTTCTTGACCCGATCTTTGTGTATTTTGGAGACTACTCGGGTGCCCAGGCGTATCGCGCTCTTAGTAACCCACCGGTCACCCATACATTCTATCGCAAGGAGTTTAGGTGGTGCTTTGACCGAGGTTCTTGAATGTTTTTGACTAATAGTTTGCTTTTTGCCCAGAGCAGTGGATTTTGCTGTCACCCTCCCTACTTTGATTCCGAATAGCGACTGGAGACTTGATTGGTTGATATCAAATGCATGTCTTCCGAAGGTGCTTATTTCAGTATGCTGGTTCGTGACATGGAAGTTGGCTTTCGCCCAGATAGCTTGTGTTCATCGTCCTCCGCGCAGAAAATGCATCCTCATCTTTTGTCGTGTCGAGTTTTCTGCATGTATACGCGTGCTTTCTGACCATAGGCTTCTGGGAATTCTATACTTCAAGAACATATTCTGTTGCATTCATTGAATTTACTAGTTACATGTTCTACTCCTTCAGTAGGTTTCTGCTACTGGTCGTCTGGGCATCCGATTTACAACGCCCTGAGTTGTTTGTAGCTTTTAGCTCCTGTCCTCCCATTTGAATTTACTGTCGTCATTCCAAATTAACAGTTATTTTCCTCATCTTCGATCAGTAGTTTAGATAGACTAGGTGGACATATTTTTACTTGCCATGGCTGTTTTCATGTATATCTGGTTGGTCTTAGTGATGTAGATCGCATCTGTACGCATAACGATTTCCGGCAGCGGGTCTGGAGAGCTCGAACCAATCGTCTCCAGAGATAGAGACTGAATAATGACGGTTCAAGGACCACAAACATGTACTGACGGGCTGTTTTGGGTTGAGTTTTGAGCTGACCTCTTGAACGTCGCCGGGTTGGCAGTGGCGCTAGATCAGGCAAGTAGCGACACTGAACTGGTGGAACAAGTGACGAAGAGTGCGTCGAAACCATCTCAGTCGTCTATCTTGGATGGGGTAAGGTATCTTGGTGTTTTCGCAGTGGGTGTGGACTATCCTTCGAGACGAAGTCAGTGAGTTTTATTTGACAAATGACTCTCGGGCAACAATGATAAGAAATCCCAAATTCTCGCTTGTCTTCCAAGCACAAAAACTAAGATGCGGATCTCTGTGACGACGGATATATCGCGTCTGGTGTACGGGCCTTTTCAAGGATCGTGAAAACCCTGTGCGCAGACGATGTTCTCTAACCGTCCATCTGACAGCAACTTCGCCCCGATGTTCTTGAAACTTTCCGCTTCTTCAAGTTGACGGTCAGTAGTCCCTATGAAATGGTTCTTCGGGATCTGAAACGCAGTTTAGGCACACCTTGGTATTCCCGACGTTTACGGATAAGCCCACTGATTTGACGACTTCCTCTACCCGAGATACTGTACTCAGCGGGTCATCATAGTCCTGTACGAAATTGTCAGTAACCCTCTCGTTAGTTATGCTGCGCCTTCCTGAACATTCTAAGTCATGTGGCCTGGCCTGTTTGGGAAACCGACGTCAGCCAGCCATGCCTGGGGTACCAATTCCATACCGTGAAGACCACATAGGGTCCTCCCGAAGGTACAGTCAATGGTGTGGTTGAACTGGATGGGCGACAAAATACAAATGTAGAGAAAGCCAGACCGATTCTGAGTGCTAGGTCGAGCCTGGTCACTTTAGGCGGCTAATATAGGCTCTCAGAAGCAACTCGTTGACAGTTGGACCGTCGTTTTTGACGATGTCGGCTTGCGCAAGATTTCATTTGTAGTGATAGTAGATTGGCGCGGCATCTGCCGTACTCTCCTTCCCCACCCGAGTCCAATGTCATGGCAGAGCCAAGAACACCGGAGGGGGGAGAGGGCGCAGGTGACTGGCAAAGCAGAACCCCGCACCTGGGCCTGCCACCACGCTCCCCCGTCTACTACATACAACTGACCAGGATTCTGCACAAAAAGAAAAAGGGTAGGGGAAACGACTCGTGTCCCAACTGAGTGCGAGTGCCATTAAGGCCGCATTAAGAAGGATCCATTATAGTCTGGCTCCCCATCCTACGAGGTGGACCGGATTATCACGTCAGTTAGCAGTATTCCAAGCCACGGCCTTTAGCGTGCTGCGTCAGATCAGCTATTGCAAGGAATATGCGCTCAGGCCGGCGACCTCTCACTTTCCGCCACCGGGCACTAGTCCGCTGTCCGAGCCGGTCAGTTGTTTGATGCTGGGAGTGGACGCAGTGACCGAGAGCCCGTCTGCGCGCGCGCCACATACACGGCCTGGCCTCCTAAACACACACGCCAGGATTATGCACAAGTGGGTAGGCGGCTCTGATCTTGAATGTGTGAGGATGTCATCTAGAAGGCGCCATCGCATCCTGACTCTCAGTTCGCCAGTCAGCTACTCAACGTACAAGCACACACTGGGCTAACCGTGTAGAATGAGTTGAGTTGTCGGTTGGCCACCTCCCAGGCCGCGGCTTATATCACACCGCGATAAACTCAAGTGCGTCAGGTCGTTTATAGTAAGGAATATGCGCTGTGAGTCGACCTGACACCCTCTTGCCTTTCCTGTGTGTCAGTTGACTGTCCGAGCCAGTCGGTCGTCCGATGTTGAGGTTGGGATAAGTAGCTGACAGAGCTGAAAACAGCCCGTATGCACTTGTCGAACGCATGACCTATCCTCCATACGCACGCACAGGATTCCATACAGGGGGTAGACTGCTCAGATCTTGCATGTATCAGAGCAACCACACGGAAGAGCCGAAAAACACACCTCTCACTTGCACCATAGGTGCCTGTGTTGGGTGGTACTGGAGGTATTCGTGTGTGGTGCATGCGTTGATAGCAAATGTACAGCGATATGGCTTAATGTGTGGTCCGGGTCGCCTTTTGTTTCCATTTCAGGAGGCCGAAGATCGTAGATGGATGGTTGGGAATACTTTGGATGTGCTTGATCCAGCTCCTCGAAGCATGAAATTTCTCCGCCAGGAGTATTGTTCAGTCGGTAATGGGAAGCGGAGCGGTTCTTTTGACTGTTGGGTCGTAGACCGTCTTTATTGATGTGAAGTTCCTTGTTTCATTACGTTCCGCATACCCCTGGGTTCCCTCGGCCTTGCGAGCCATCCAGGCGTCTTTAATTTCCCACAGTCGTTGCTGAACAAGGCGGCGACATCTGAAGAAGTCCGCAAAATTTATGTCGGTCCGGCGGTGGACGTAGGCTTCGTGCAGCCTGTTGCTTTCGACGAGCACTTTGCTGATATCTGTGTCGTCGCTGTCGTCGTCTTATCAGTCCTGGTGTTGACGACGTCCAGGGTAGAGGAATGAGTGACATTCCACAATTGACACCACCGAGTCCTCATGATGGCGTTTTCATCTAAAGCCTGCAAGTCTTCAAATCGCCGAGTGGTTTGATTGCTGAAACTGACGTGGTGAGCAGGTGAATTCAACAGAATGGTACTTGGCACACCTGGTGGTCGCCTACCTTGCGGTCTTCCGTGTGACTGCAGTCGAAGCCTCATCCTGGGAATGACAAGGTGGTCGGTCCGGCCGTCCGCACCGCAAATGTCCTTCGTCACCAGCACGTCCTGTCGCATATACACCCAACACAACTTATTTACTACACCGTCACTCCCCGCCGTTTCGAGGTGCTCGGGCATACTCTGCGTCAGCCTGAATAGGGAGTTTAGGCTGCCATCTGATACGTCTGTGGTTGATTCTGGCGTTGGTATGGTTGCATGGAAATATAGTCGAACGTCGTGGATGCTGGACTTGCGCTTACCTCTCCCCTGTGGTGACAGCAAGCCACCTGGTTCGAATTCGCCCGAAAGTCTGACAGTTCCCGACTGCAAGAGAGGTTGGTAATTTTTGAGGATGTGAATCTCCAGCACGAACCAGGCGTTGTCAGAAGGGATGAAAACTGTAAGAAGTAGTGTCGGTTCATCGTGTGGG